CTGTAGTTCTCCTGTTTTCTGTTTCATCTATTTTCATTTTGTTTAGGTTCGTTTCACCTTGTTTCGTTTCGTACCTGGCCGGCTGACTGGGGTAGTGGGAGCGGATGTGTTGTCCCAGCATGACTTGAGACTGATCCTGGAGGTTCTCCACTTGTTCTGGATCCTTCAAACCTCGAGTTTCTGTTCAGGAGAGAAAAACATGTTAACTATTTCTGCACTCTGAAACCCCACATGTCTYCATTTATTCACATCGAATACTTAATTATTTCAAACACTTTGCTACAAACATGAAAAAAACTGATTCAACAAACTTTAGTTATTTTATTGGTGCTGTTTTTTATTACAGAGTGAGGAAACATTTTTATTTGTCAAAGTAAAATTAAAATGTTTGAGTGGTAGCAAAAATATTATATATTTACTGAATCTATAACTTATTGTTTTTCAGCTGCTGCCTTCATTGAACTGACATGAAAGATTTTGTCATTTGTTTTGTGCCAGATGTCCCACAGCCCCTGTACAATTTATATGTYTTGAATTTTATTAACAGGCAACATGTTGGTGTGTGTGAAAGGTTTTTCACTCATTAAGAGTCACATAGGYAAAATGATAGTAAAAAATATGTGTGGTTAAATCTGTATTCAGCCATAATGATGAACATTTATTGAGGTGTTTTCTCCTGACCACATCCCTCTAACRTTTGTAATATTCAAATAAACCATTTTAGCTTCATGCTGAAATTTATTGGTAAATGGTYCTGAACTTATCTAGCACTTTTAAGTCCTTCCAGAACCCAAAGCACTTTACACTAACAGACATCCACCCATTCACACATGATGGTAAGCTACATTGTAGCCACAGCTGCCCTGGGGCACACTYACGGAGGCGGGGCTGCCGTGCACGTGCGCCACCGGCCCCTCTGACCACCATCAGTAGGCAAGGTGGGTGAAGTGTCTTGACCAAGGACACGATGGCTGGACTGGGTATTGAGCCGGCGACCTTCCAGTTCCAGGACAACTCCACTAACTACTCCGCCACAGCTGCCCCAATTTATTGGTAAATTTATTGGTAAACTCATTAGTACAGCTCTATCAAATGTCAGATTATTGTTCTTAGTTATGGATTTATGGACATGTTTTTATAAACCATCAAAGGCWAATTTTTGCCTGTTTATGTATGGGCTGTCAGATGACAGAAGTGACAAACCAGGAGGGACAAATAATGATTAAATATATTAAAATACCACTAATTGTATTTTTTCCTTTTCTTTTATTTATTTATTTAGTTAGTCAGTTAGTTATTTTTTTCTAAATTTAGTTATTTATTTTGGACGTGCAAGTCTTTTATCAACCATCAGGGAGCGCTGTGGAGCAGATTGTTGTCTTACTTGGCCAGGACTTGGGACACATTTGCGTTTATTTTCTCCTTCCCTTTGGAAACCTGGATTCATTATGAAACCCTCCTAATGTAAAACGAACTTGAATCATGAATTGTGTGATTTCATGACTCAACATAACCTCATTAAAAACCAATATCATTGTAGTGTTTACTCCTTCCAGCTTTATGAGCTGTTAATGGGAGCATATTTTAAAACTGCTTTACAAAGTAGAGTTTCTTTTGAAAACTTGGCTGTTTAGTATTGACTGAAATGCAAAGGTTTCTTAAAAACCATGACTCAGCATTCTAAATCACACTAACTCACTTTGAACCCAAAACCCAATCAACAATGGAAACATTTTTACAGTTTTTTTTTTCTTTCTTGCCTGCGTTATTTTTCTCCTGTGTATCATTTTATAAATATATGCATACATAACATTCCCTGTCTTTCTTTAAAAGAAAGAAGCTCCACCTGTTAGATAAAAGCTCACTCTCTACTTCATTWCATGATTTATTATTCCCTATTTACAGTCATTATTAGTTGGACAGGAGTTACCGACTGTGATGGTTCTGGTTTTAGTTCTAGGTTCAGGTTTTTGGGGTGAACTGAATCTGGTTTGAGGATTTCTCAGCTCTGAACTCATTTTGGGATTTGTTCTATGTCTTGTTAAAATGTCTRTAAAATGTTGCAGATGTCCGGACTAAATAAGACAGGTGTCCTCTGATCTGTTCATTAGGCCTATTATAAAAACCCAGGGATCTCTCACACTGCTCAACACAGTCAAACTTAAACAAAAAATAAAATGTACTGAAAATTTTGTAAAAAAAAAAAGTATATAAAGTAAACTGTGTCAAATAAACAAAAATAGTTTGTAAAAATCTGTAGCATAACAAAAAGAGGCCTTTATTTACATTTCTATATTTCTTTTTCTTCATTGCTCCCATAGAAAACAAATAAAAAAAATAATGATTTTAAAAATATCTGTATAAAGTGGAAGAGGCCTTAAGGTCAGTTTTCTCTCTGCAGTATTAAATACGACCGGCTGACGTTAGTTATTTTGTTACCTGGCTTGAAGAGCACAATGGCCTTGAGGCAGGCGAACTCGGTGGGGTCCACAGCGAGGGCCTTGAAGCGGCTGAAGACTTCCTGCAGGAGGCGCAGGTCCAGGCTGGTGTAGCCGGTTTTACCCTGCATGCCCGGACAGAGGTCAGGGAGTGAGAGCAACGGACAGCTGTCCAGCGGCAGAGACCACTGGACGGCACAGAGCAGGAAGAGCTCGCTCCACGCCTCCTCCAGCAGGATCACCTGGTGGGAAAACAGCAAAATCTGAAGGTTCAGGTCAAACAATAAACAGCAGCACTGATTTTAAGTTTCAGAAAATCATTTCTCACAGAAAAATACAAAACCCTGATAACACATAACAGAAGAACTTCAAAGGTTTTTAATTCTAAAATCCACTTTATCATTAGTAATCACATTTATTTATTTTTCTGCTTTTTAAATGCTTTTTTACATTCAACTATAGTTTTACATTGTGTAAATATTTAGAAAGATATAAGGCAAGTAATTAAAGCTTAAATTTAAAAACACCTTATGGCTCAAAAAGGTCAAATTTAAATAAAGATAAACCAACAGTAAAACAGGGTTCCTACAGCTTAAGGCAAGTTAAATTTAAGACTTTTTAATACCTCTTTAATGCCACTTGAAGTTAAATTGTAGCAACAATTTTGCCAACAAAAATGGACAAACAATGAGCTGTGAGAGGCATTCAGTAAATTATTTTTAGAATAAATAAGGGTTACCAAGTGTTTTAATATTTGAGATGAACTACAAACATRCTACTTACAATGTGTTAACATTTTTAAGACCTCTGAAAAGTTTATTTATGTCCTTTTAAGGCTAAGCAAGGCCTCATTTTTGGATTGATGAATTCAATGTATTTTAAGACTTTTGTGAGTGAGTGATCTATTTAAAGTTAATATAAATACCAACCTCCTAATTTAAATTAACAATGAGCATAGTGAGAGCAAATTCATTAAAATATATTTTTCTTTTTTTCTTCACAAAGTAAAAATGACAAGAAGTTACACTCAAAAAACAGATTTTTGGATTTACTTAACCAAATTGTGACAACAATTTCCACTCAAAATAAATGTGAAAGTTTCTTTACACTTACGCATCTCAGTTAAGTGGAAATTGTTGACATCATTTGATTAAATCCAACTCTCTGTTTTGAGTGTAGATTATTTACTAGTATTTACCAGATGTAAAAAGTAAAACAAATTAAAATTTTCCTTATATTTTGCAAAAATAATACTTTAAAATACAAAGTGTTTAAATTTAAAATAGTAAATTTGTAATCCAATTGCAGTAAAGTTCACTTTTAAACATAAAAATATGCAAGATTAGAGGAATGTATACCTTAAAAATGTTATGTAGACAATACAAAAAAACAAATGTTCATTTAAATAAAAGCAGCACTGAATTTGTCCTAAAAGCCTGACCTGGTCTCTGAAGGGCAGGTTGGAGAACACAGGTAGGTTCTTGGCCCACTTCACCGACATGAACAGCAGCCTGGCTGAGGTCTCGTACACGTTCTCCGAGCCGGCCGGGTACAGAGCCATGTGGTACTCCGAGGACGACCTCTCCGGCTCGTTGCTGGTTACGTCTATGTTTTCATCCACTGAAAAAAGTGACGATGAGGTCAGAATTCACAGCAAAATAAACTGACTGAGGAAACAGGACCTAAAGGTTTAATCTGTTAGACTTCAGCTGGTTTTAGAGTTTGGTGACTTAAAAAAAGTTACAGTCATTGTTACAACATTTCTATCCAATAATGCTTTAAAATTACTTAAAAAATTAATTAACACTCTAAATTTTGAATTTAAGTTTTCTATAACAAGGATTAAAAACTTAAAATGTGGGATTGTATGTGAGCAAATCTGAACCACATTTTTTTCTAACTTTTTGTAGCTGCCTTATTTCTATTTTACGACTATAAAACAAGAACAAGCATTTGAAGTTTTGTTACTCAATTACTCAAATAATCCAAAACATATTTTTGTAAAATGCCCTAAAAAATGTGACTTTTTACAAGCATCAAGTTGTTCTTTATATATATAT